TGTTAAGTCCAGTAGTTCAGTGGGTTAATGTAGCAAACTGACACTGAAACCCAAACACAATACCCACACCCAAACCCAAACCCAAACCCAAACCCAAACCCAAACCCGAACTCAATACCCAAACCCAAACTCATGTACCCAAACCCAAACTCAAACCCAAACTCATATACCCAAACCGAAACCCAAACCCAAACTCAATACCCAAACCCAAACTCCCAAACGGTTTGGGTTTGAGTTTGGGTTTGGTGCATGCCTAGGCTCCACGTTCACCAGATTTAACACCTCTCGACTTTTATCTATGGGGCCATCTGAAGAATAACGTTTACAAATCTCCAATTAAAGATATGGACGAATTGAAAATAAGAATCAATAAAGAAATTAAATCGATTTCAAAAGAAACTTTGAGTGATGTTTTTTCAAATATTGTAAAAAGGATGGATTTATGTATTTCAGTTGATGGTAATCATTTTGAACATTTGTTGTAAACCAAATTATATGAAATAAAACTTAAAAGAATATACTATCATTTTATAAAAAAAAGCGATTAAATCGTTTGAATTGTAGAAGAGATATTTAAGTAAACTTTCCGCGGGGACTTCTGGGGCACCCTGTATGTAAACGAACTTTGTAATAAATTACACTTGATGTAAATTTGTTCTTGAGCATTCTTGTTCGATTTATCGGCTGTTGTCGCTGTTGTTGTGGGGTTTGTTTTGTTCTTGATCGAATTATTTCCAAAATTAACAAAAACAAATTGAGGTATTTCAAAAACAGAGTAGCGTGAATTGGCGGTGTGAGTACCCTTCACATTGTTTCTTGCATCGAATTTTTGGAACAAGTTTTGTCTAAAAAAGCGTGTCATCAAGGGAGATTTCTTCATTTTTCGATATGTGCTTTGTTAAAAATAAAATACAATCATTGCCAAATATATCATTTTCTATAAGTAAAAGAAAAACATAATACTATGAGAAATATTGTCGAGTAAATGTGAAAACTCACTCTCTTTACATTGTAGACATGTATAAACAGTACCATAACTCCAACAAAGTAGTTTGGTGTCACGAGTAACATATTCAAGTGCAGCATCAAACATCATTCTAAAATGTGTATTATCAACAGAACCAGTTAAGTTAAAATTTTTCTTTTCAGATAAGATTTGACAAATGGTTTGCGTAAAATTCACGTTGCTGTTTGTTTCACGAATATACATAGCAATTCAGGTTGAATATTTCTTTTCAAACACCACCGATTTATGAACTGGTTCAATTAATTCATCATTACAATGGTAAAATTGTTCACCATACTTTGCAAATGTATAATAGTGACGACTGTCTTCTGTGTTCCCCGTACTTATAATAACTGATTTTAATTGGTATTTAAAATATGATGGAAAGCATATCATTTGTGAAGAAGCATATGTTGACATATCGAGCTGGTTTTGAATAAAATATTTCGTTGTTTTCACTTGATTGTTATCATCTTCTATATACCTGCTGGGCATAAAAGATATGAATAAAGCATCAGGCAATTGTGCAAGTTCTTTAAATTGTCGATTCTGGTATAATACTTTACCACATGTATAGCATGTGATAGAATTATTATTTGTTTCCGTAAAAAAAAGTTTTTAATACTGCATCAGACAATAATAATCCTTCACAATTAGTCGTAAATAATGTTAACAATGGATGATTTTCAGTAGCTATGATATTTTCGGCATGACATTGAGAGCATGAAATTAAATAATGATAAATTGTCGCAGTGTCGATGAAATTTGAAATTGATCCCAAAAGAACGGTTTGCAAATATTCTTTAGCACATGATATTTGGCCCATGGGTTTAATTAGAGGCGCATGTGGTTGCTTGTTCAAGTCATATATAATCAAGTTAAAAACTTATATGACGATAAAAAGATGACTATTTAAATATATATGGGCGCGCTCAGTCGTCTTGGTACCCCAAGATAAAGGATAGGAAATAGTATTATTCCATGGATGAATATATAATGAATTTTATACCAAATGAAAGCTCGTCAAAAATGGGATTTATTGATACCAAATAGCAAAGGTTTTGTGAACTTTGTAATGTCGAACTTCAGAAATTTTGAGAAATTTCACATATTTTCAGCATAGAAAACTAAGGTATCAATTGTATTTGCAAGAAAAACAGTAGATTTTTACATAAAATTAGCTGTCTTCATTTTTTTACTACCTCATATGTTTTGAATACACTTATCTGATTCAATTTTTACGTTGCATCCCTTGAGCATGTTTCGAAACATATGAAGTAGTAAAAAAATGAAGACAGCTAATTTTATGTAAAAATCTACTGTTTTTCGTGCAAATACAATTGATATCTTAGTTTTCTATGCTGAAAATATGTGAAATTTCTCAAAATTTCTGAAGTTCGACATTACAAAGTTCACAAAACCTTTACTATTTGGTATCAATAAATCCCATTTTTGACGAGCTTTCATTTGGTATAAAATTCATTATATATTCATCCATGGAATAATATTATTTCCTATCCTTTATCTTGGGGTACCAAGACGACTAAGCACGCCCATGTATGTACTTATTTATGAAGGCATTTAAAACCCGATAACTTACCAATAAGTCTACCATGCATCATTTGAGAACCATTTGCAATTTCTTTTCTCATAATTTTTATTCTTGGATTAAAACCCATATATTCATAAAATTCGATAACAGTATTTCGAACTAATCGAATTTCGTACATAGAATATGGTGTTCGATATCGTTCATGTGCTTTTTGTACTTGTCCATTTTCAATTATTATTTTCTAAACTAAATGTTGCACAAATAACTTCTTTCTTTAAAAAAATATTACTCAATTTAAATTCATCTGATCGTAGAAACGATCGACTTCTTCATTAAAAGCAACAACTTTAATTTCACCATCCTGATCGCAGATTATTCCATCAAATACTTTATTATTACTACCAAAATGCCGTATTGGATTTATATTAACAATTTGACAACGAATGCGAAATCTAAAAGAACATTATCAAACCTTTCATTAACACATTTCATTACTCTGACGTATTTTCATTAAGACTATTAATTTGTTCAAACGAATTATTAGTTGATGGAAAATATGCATCAATCGTTGCTATCAACAAAAACGACACATATGTACTTAAATAAAACCAATTCAATTTACTTTGTATACGTCCTGTAGATTCATTATTTGGTATGTTAGATAATCCATTTGATGTTGAAGTTGCTGCTTCTTAATCAGAAAAAAATTATCACTTTTTATCTTATCCATTTCTTCTTCTTTTTTAAATTTTACTTCTTTTTAACAGAATAATATTCTCGTATCAATCGCTAACATACCATCATCATTATCTAGTCGACTATTTTCAATCATGATATTTGATGTATTTGTACAATTAATATTCATTTCTTCTTCATTATTATTATCTTCAATATCAAGAGCTTCTTCTACCATTCTATCTTCATTTTCATTATTTGACGTTTCAGAATCCGATGGCAAAACTAACAAAAATATTTAAACTATCCGTTCCTTATCAATTATTCAATGACAATTATCGAGACAAATCGGATGTTTTTGCCTTGAGCCATCTGTTTTATCATAAGTTAGATATTTGTTGATGCAATAAACCAGAAACGTACGTAATGAGATCTCTTAGCACGATGATCAGGCGCCAGATAAAATAATGAAAGATTAATTACTTTACCTTTTCGACAATGTACGTTTTTTTCGATTTTTTTCTTTAAATTCAACTCTATGGGATCCATAAAGACACATGAAAATTATTAACACCTGAAATTCTTATGTTTTTGTTTTTAAATTTCAAAAAATCCCATAAAATATTACCAAATATTTACATTCCAATACTTTTCTGAATCATAATTACTGTTAATGTATTTTTTAACCTCATAAACTTATTCACAATCATTTAAAGATTTTTTCAAATATTGAAGCCTATTCATACCTTTAAAATATTATCACCTATCGATTCCATTTTATTGAGTCTTTTTCAACCAGAGAGATGAAAATAAATTCTACGAATAAATCCGCACGATATATGAAATATTAATACTTATTCATTTATTCTAATCATCTTTTTCAATACCTATTTTATCGACGTCTCATATTCTAAAATCTTCCTACGTATTTAAACACTTATTAGGCATTTCTTCACCTATAATAGCATTCTAGTCAATGTACAAATTACCACTACTTTGCATTTTTTGTCCATTTTTTAACGAGCAGGGTATGCGAAAAAAAAACATAACCTATGCATAAAGTACTAACACTTATTTATTTAATTCTGTTATCTTTTTCGATAGTTGTTTAATTTCCAATATCATTTAAAGATCTTTATCGCTATTTCAATACTCATTAGCTATTCATTTCATCTTACTGATTCTTTTTTGAGCAGAAAAATGAATGTAAGCTGTGGACAAATTGGTAGATGAATAATTATTTAATCTTTGACAACATTTTTAAGATATTCAGCTGTAATTGATAAATATTCGTATTTATTCATATTCGTCTGAGCGATTATTTCCATTTTATTTATTCTCTTGAAGTATAGGATTCTTTGTAGGCTGCACAAAAATATGTAGATAGATAGCGATTTGATGTCTACTAGTATTTGAAGATATTCTGCATTAGCTAAAGATGTTTAAATATCAATCGAATGCATTGGTAAAATTATGACGTTGTATTTGATAGTCCGAAATGAATTTGTTCAAGCAGAATAATATTTATTCTATGAATGTTAAACTTTAGGAATTGTACATGCTTTATTTTTTATTTTAAACACATAAAATAATATCCTATTTAAATCAGTTTGTTTTAACGGTTTGTTAGATACAATATTATTATAATTATATATATAAATGAAACAGAAATATACCAAGATTCCGAGACAAGAAAGTTTATAGTTATTTAAATGATTTGGACGAAGCTATGCATTTTGTTTAAAAGTTAGCTGGATGAGAAAAAAACATTTCAAAGCTTTGAAATAGACAAACGTTTCTTTAAATAGTGCAATGTCATTTAAAAATATCTCTCTTTCTCTTGCTAAAAATCTGCAATATAGTATTTTGATTAAATACTCGATAGCAAAACCTAGAAATGATTAAAATAAAACATTTTTTGTCGTGAAGAACATCTGAATAGGAATATTTGCTTCAAACACAAACTTTATATGATTATTGATTATTTTCTAAAAAAGATATTCTATGTAAAATGTACTTGAATTTTACTTAAGCAATTTGTTAACGATGATTCACACTCTGCCTGCCCTCGATTCTCTTTCTCTTTCTCTCTCGCTTCTTCTTTCTACTGTATTGTTATTATTGTTGTTGTTTCTCCTTCTTTCTCTCGTTTTTCTTCTCCTCTCTATGGATGTATATATACCTAATGATTTAAGGACATTTTTGAAGAGATTTAACATAAGAAATAAATGAAATAAGGTTACGCTCGTCGAATCGAGCTAACACAATTATTCATCACAATAAACAGACAGTGTGATATTTATCAAAGTTCGTAATGAAGCATTTTTATTTTTTTATCCCTTGTATTGAGTAAATAATAGGATCCTATCGGCAGTGATGAATATAGTTCAAGTTACAAGCAATATTCTTCAATATTAGCTAAATATTTCAGTTTAATTAGGCTTATTATAGAAAAAACTAGTTGTCAAGTGTATCAATATTGTTAATAAAGACGTTTCCACTTAGTTTATTCTTCTACATTTTTTTCCGATTTTTTTAAACAAGCTGAAACTTATATAAGCATATTTGTACTTATTTTGAATAAAACATCAAAGAAAGTTCATATTTGATTTAAATAGTTTCATAAATTTGTCCTCAAATCTTGAAGAATATTAAAGTTATTTATTGTTATTCAATTAACGACATGACAATACTAATAAATCTAATTACTTTCTATTTATTGTTTAACTGAACCTTTCATTTAATTCAAAGTTGTCACCCTCAAGATTCTTCCCTACATACGCATATCTTACATTAATCTTAAGCTAAAAATACAAACAAAGGAAATATTGAGAGATGATTTCGAACGTATCGCATCTGCTTTATTGATTCAAATCAAAAATTAAATATAATACAGTTCCTTTTGAAATTTCATACTTATAATTACTGAGAAAAAAGTATATTTAACTGTAGGTATAATATTTCTTTTAGACTTTGTCTATCTAATATCTAATCAGTTTGGAAAAGATGAGTCATCTTCTTCATTCACCGCGTTTGTATCGATCCGGTAATTTTCAAATGGGGGAAAGAATTACATGCATTTATCTTTTTCAGATAAATAAACAAAATCAGAAAAATGTCAGATACTCGAACAACGACCAATTCAAATTATTTTACAGATATTTGTTATTCAGGAAATGGAAGGTTATAATTTATTTCATATATTGCTTTTCAAAATCCATCATTAATGTTTTCTTTTTATTTTAGTCATTTTGTTGTCTGTGATAAATTTGGTCATATTTATGTTTTTGATTCAACAAACGATCGAATTGAATATAAATATCTGTGTGCTGATATACCTTCTCATATTCTAATACATGTCATTTTTTTTTCTCAAGATTTTTTTTCTATTAAAAATTATTTTTTATTAGAATCATTCTTTGTATGTCGGCACAAATCATGGTTTACAAATTCATCCATTTCCACGTCAAAGCAATATTCGAAGTTCCGTTTTGTTTGATCATCCAATATCATTTCTTTATTTAAGTGGATGTTCATTATTTGTTAGTACTCGGTAATATAACTCATGTTGAATTTAATTCATTCACTCTTTATTTTATTTCTTCTAGTGGTGGTGAAGTAGGAGTGATCAATATAAATGGTGATATAAAAGAAAAAAAAAAGTTTTCCTGTTCGTCAATATCCTATACTTTCATTAAGTGCTAACTATGAAAATAAATTATTGGTAATACAATGAATTTTTGCCTTATTTAAAAGAAAAACCTTCTATATATTTAGGCTACAGCATCAATTGATGGATATGTTCGAATTTTTAATACAGCTGAACAGAAATTCGTAAAAGAATTGGCTTTAATCGATATCTCAGTTGATATTGAGTAAGTTGAATATATGCATTGATTTTTTTAAAAAGAATTAAATTAATTTAGCACAGCAAAATCGTATGTTCAAATGGATTGGGATTTAGTAGAAGATGTAACTATGTTTATTCTCATCAGAACGAACATTTATTTCATTTATTTATTAATTTAGTTATTGGCAATTCCAACGAAAAACTGCATTTATTTTTACGAAACAAATAGCTTTGGAATGGAGAAAGCTTATGAAAACAATACAAATGAAGAAGTTTGTTATTACATTAAAATAATATTTTCAAAGACAAAATCATCTTATATTTCAGTATATTGATTTGATCAAATATTCACCAAATGGAAACTACTTCATCATTACATATCGAAATAATACATTAGTAGCTGTTGATAGTATCAGTCATCGTATTTATTTGGTGTAAGAAAAACAATTTGTTTCTTTTAAATTTATTTATTCTTCTATCTTGTTTAAGTTATGCATTCAACAATGTATTTACTTCTTTGAATCGGCGTCCTCGAGCAT